CCTGAACCCAGTTGGGGCCCTGGTAGAGTGTGCTTCCGATGTTGAAGTCTCCCACTATGTCAGATTTTACAGGATGGCTTTTCAGTAACGTAAGAACTTGCCATTATCCAAAACAAGTTCAGGGTAAAAAACCATTCCTTCACAACAAATATGACATAAAAAGTCTTACAAAAAAACTCCACCCTTTGGTCTAAGAGGTTTTTAATCTTCAAAAATTAACCTTCCAAACGATGGAAATAGCTCAACAAAACTGCAGAATGAAACACATCGCTGACCTGAGTATTCGTACGACACAATTAATGCTTTAACCGGCCCTGAGCCATTAAACCAGGAGAATTACTACACATCTTTGGAATTCTAAGCCAATGCTTACTCCCAACCAAACGGCTTCAGCGATCAACCGGAAAGGAAAGCGTAAACCTTGTTAAGTGCGTAGAAGATTATTTAAACAAAAAAAACACAATGTTGCCAATGTTGAGAAAACTAAAAACAAATGAGGAGTGTTCTGGGTTGCATACTATCAAAACAAGGTAATAAACAAAAGAATAAAAATAATTAAATTCTTTGGAAAGAGGCAACTAAACAAATATTAAAAATATACTTAACAATTAGTCAAACTAAAAATAAACCACTTAACAGTTCACATCTATACCGTTATAGATGTACAAAAACTAATAAAATAAAATCAATGGGTAACTGTCAAAATGACGGTTACACTATATGGGGCGGGTCTAGGCCCAATATTTTATTTGGGGCCAATATTGGATTTATTTAGCAGATATTAGCCCTATATTGGCATAAAATGATAATTTAATATATCTTGCCAATGTTTATCCAAGGTTGGTCCTATATTGGCGTATTATTTTAGGCCAATATATCATTAACTATAGTCAACGATGCCTTCGGATTTCTAAAAGTGATATGTAACGACACACGTTTGTTTCCAGGATATGTTTATACTAGGGGTGGCGCAACCGACTACCATCCTTATTGTATAGCACCAAATGGGTGAAAATAATAAAGGCCATTCTTGCATATTACCTTAAGAATAACAAGGGTAATATGCGATTTCATGTCTTATTAGCAATAAAATTCGTTATTACGTTAATAAAGCTCAAGCTGATCATTTTAGCACACGATACAAACGATTTAAGCATTTCATCGTAATTAAGAATAGCATAAACGGTACACGACTTGTCTTATTGTTAGATTTTTTCAATGAATTTAGAGGGTACATTTTATATCAAGTAACCCCCCCTCTCCCCCTTATCATTTGGGTGGGCATTGTCACCCGCCCCCCCCAGCTTCTACGCCCCTAAGTACCTACTATTATAATAAACATTTCCTGAAAACAAATGTTTGTCGACACGATCGTGACATATCACTTTTAGAAATCCTACCACGTAGTGAGTACTAGGTGACTATCTTTTTTTTTTTTCAATTTTTCCCTCAACTTTCCTAGAATATAATGTAAAACAACTTCGGGCCAATGCGGATTTCCAATATCGGTTATATAATGTCAAACAACTTCGGGCCAATGTTGGGTTTCAATATTGGACCATGCTAGAAAAAATCTGACAAAAGATATATTGGCCCAATATTATTACCAATATTGGGCCAATATTTTTGTGCTAATGGGGAAGTTTAAAAAGTGAAAAAAGTTTAACCTATGAACTTGTCTAATTTCATCTGAGTAAACGGAAAGAAAAAAACCGATGAAAAAATTAATTTTGTGTTTATGGAGTTTTTAAAATAAGTACTAAATTTTCTAACCATTGCTTAAGCTAATAGCTGGATGAGTAAATAAATACAGAAGCTTTAAGGGAATAAAACTTTTTATTTGTATTTATTGGCTTTTTATTTATTTTTTGCAAGAAAAATTTTTACAACTGGCAACGCCCAGCTACTTTGTTGGTTGGTATCTATGTACTCACAGAATACAAGTGTGTAACCAGTAGCGTATCACAAAAAATATAAAAAATTTCTAGTGCATATTTTTTCTTTATCTTTGGGAAAATATTTTTTTAAATATTTTCCGTTACACCTTATGTCAAAAATATTAAATATTTTAATATATTACATTAATTACATAACATAAACAAATATTCCTAAAAATTTAAAATAAAAGAAATAAAGCCCAACCTTTAAACGTTAAGGTAAACATTCAATTTCCTTAGTTTCTTCAAGACGGTGTGGATCACGTGATGTCCTTACATCTCGCCTCTGTTGGCATACCAACGCAGTGTATAAGCTGAGGTAGTCCTTTGTTTTAGGTGTGTTCCACTACACCAAGTTGCCCGACACTGATGAGACCCAATATAGGTCGAAACAGCTGTCTGTCGGTATTTGAAGTTGGTGGAACGCACTCAAAACAAAACACTTTGGTGAGTTGAAGATTCAATTCTTTCTTATGAATATTACCAGTAGTGGGTCAAAAAAGTTTCTTGAAGAAACTAAGAAAATTGAATGTATTGGAATAAAATTTAACAATGGGTTCCTTATTGAAAAATAATAATTTTTTATATAAAGTTATGAACTACGGGTTTTTAAGTTAAAGGGTTTTAACAAAAATTTACCACTAAAAACAAAATTTTGGTAAAAAGTGGTATTTACAAAAGGTTTAATTACGGGAAAACGGAAAGTGATTAAAAGAAAACGTAGGAGGATTTTTTTTGTCAAAAAATTATTTTCAACAGTACAAAAGAGTGAGAATAAATTAAAAATAATTTGACCTATTTAGCACAAATAGCCACAAAAGCCCGTAGGGCGTGAGTGGCTATTGGATTGTGACAACAAGTTTACAAAATATCTGGAAAATTATTTTCTAATTTATTGAACTCTCGAGAGGTATTCGGAAGATTATTTTTTGATATTTTTTATAGAATTTTCTAATATAATTTACTGATTTTGGGTGTTTTTGATGTATTTTTCCTTATATGCACATTTATTTATTTGTTTATTTCTTTTTTCGATATAGAACCAAACCTTTTGCTGCTCATTTATAACTATAGTATACTGACAGTATGTGTGTTTAATTAAATGACAGATGCCGTGGTGTTTTCGCGGGAATAATGCATGTTACATTATTCTCACCCATATTATAACAAGTGGTATGATTATCATGTGCTGCTTCGGTTTCAATGAGTAAATATCATCGATAATTAATCATACCACAGAATATAATGAATTTTAGGATTTAACAAATTGTCAGTTTGACATTTGAAATTAAAATGTGCTTTAAAATATAAAAAGACTTTAATAAACCTTATTTATTCAAACTTACCTTAATTTTATTATCGTTTACACAAACCCATCGATCTTTTAGAGTTATTTAATTCATTATTTTAATCATTTAACAAACACAGTATTTAAATGTCAACAAATGTCAAATCAAGAAAAATGTCAAAATCCTTAGCAACGTGTAAACAAGGTGATAAAAAATATTGTCGCTGTGATAAAATGCGTAACTATGGAATACTGGCATTTTATTGGTTCTAATTATAATGAATTGTATTGTCACTATAATAATGTTTCGATCGTGTTTATTGGTTTTTAGAAACGTCAAAAAATAATCAAAGAAAATAACTTTATAAACGGGTAAGGATTTGATAAAAAATATATTTGAATTTAAACACGTGCATATCGAAAAAAATGTTTTTTCTAAATATCGCAAAAACAAGATATTGACCAAAATAATGTCGTAATTTCACTGCAAGTCAGCTAGCGGTTTGCTGGAGTTAACAAACAAAAAGGTCTATATTTTTTTGTTTTTAGAAATTCGAAGCTTTAGAGAAATTATGCTATAAGTATACTTCGAATAAAGCGATTTTTTGTGCAGTGAAAACTCTTAAAGAAGATATTTTAGCTAATAATTAAAAGAAGAAACAGGGAATCCATTTTGCTCAAAATTAATCGTGGATTCTATTTATCTTCCCAATTTTTTTTATTTACATTTTTTGATTTGACTCGTATTATTTTTTAAACATACCTTAATTTATACTTGGTCTAATGGCTGTTAGATGATGTATGTAAATACATAAATAAATAAATAAATAAATAAATAAATAAATAAATAAATAAATAAATAAATAAATAAATAAATAAATTTAGTATCTAAACTTATGCAAAGTTTGGCGGAGGTATTTTAAAATATTTAATTTAAAAAAAATTCAAAATTTATTTTTAAGCAAAGAAATAGGTTCAATTTTAAGCATTTGTTTTTTTGAGTGAATTAATAGCTGAAATATCTCCTTTCAAAATGTATATTAGAAATACTTATAATAGAATTATAATATTATATCACTGCCCCTGGAAAATGACAAAACGTACTAAACACGTGTGCCGCAAACGGTGTGCGCGTTTTGCATCCCCTCCCATGTGTCAGAAGCTACCAAATTTTGTTGTAAAATTGACATGCTATTGGGATAATTATGATGTATCTTGAATGAATTGCGTAAATATAAATAATGTTCATAGCTTCTGAACAAAAACACTTTGCACTTGGTTAAGAAGAAATATTCAAGAGATTTGTTTTCAAGAGAACTGTACTTAAACAAAGAATTTTTTTCTTTAAGCAATAAATACTGTACGAAAAATCGCTTAATTTTTGAAGTACCGTAATTTCGCCAAAAGTTAGCAAAACAAAAAAATATTAGTTTTTTATTTGTCAACTCACAGAGTTTCATTAAAATCAGATTTTGATGTATTTCTGCGCTAAGCCAGCCAGCCAGCTAGAGGTTGACCCTTGACCATCAAAGGTCAACCGCTTGGCGAGGAATTACTCAATGAAAGTTTTTGTCTACCCTGTTATTTATTAAAAAATATTTTTAAATATTTTTAATACGGATTGATCGCCCCAAAAGTTTTTGTTTTAACTTTTGAAAAACTTGTGCAAAACTGTATAAAATACTTTTAATATTAGAATATTTAGCAAAAGTAACAGTTCGTGAGATTCAAAAGGTTACCCTTGAACAAATTATTCAACATTTAACTAGAATTACCTGTTTATTCGTTCTGGCCAGTCCGTGAATTTCCCGCTGTAACAAGGGAAGATGGGTCCTCAGGAACGGCAACACAAACGGTCGTAATGGAAAATTCGTTACGTCTTGCAATGAACTATGGAAATCCTCTATACTTAAATTTGAACTCTGCAAAACAAATTTAACATTCAATATTAATGAAATATTTTTCATTTGGGTGTAAGAACAGCACATGTCTGAATATTAGATATTGAACTTGTAGCACGTGTTACATATTTCCAGTTAGATTGATGTCATAGGGGATAACTGGCAACATATTCTACACTGTGTCTAAAAGACATAAGTAAAAGTTAAGATTAATATTCTGCCTGCTAAATTACAAGAACTGCAGGTTTGGCAGGACCATCTGAATGAGACGTTTTTATTTATATTTAATTATTTAGCTTTATGATTTTCTATAAATTTGTGCAAATTTATACTTTATTCTATTTCTAATTCATTTCTTAATTATATAATACTATACTATACTGGGTATATATATATATGTATATATATATATATATATATACATATATATATATACAAATAAATCGTATCAAAACACAGTATTCTTTTCGAAATTTAAGTACATCTTATTTTACAAAAAATGTATTTAATTACAATGATTTAAGACATTTGCAATATATCATAATATTATTATATCATTATATTATATTTATTTAAAATTCTTTTATGAGTTTTACCATTTCTTATGTTTACCACCTATAGTAGAATTGGATTTAATTCAAAATATAAAGTTTTACCTTGGCTATTTATTTTGAAATTCTATATAGACTATAGTGGGAACTTAACCAACCAATATTCTATTCAATGTTAAAAAATAAAAAAAATGTGGGTATACAAAGATAATTCGTTTTGAACAAACATTTCCTTTTTACTCCCACAGAAAAATATTGCATTAATAGGACCTTTTTGAAAGGAAATTGAATTTTTTATAAAAGCCATTTTTACTGTTAACGTGTTTTGAAATAAAATGCAAAAAAACTGTTAATCCTTAAGCGTTATAAAATTTAAACTTATTATTTTCAACACTAAAGTAATTTAGACCCATCGGGTAAAGTTTTTTACCTCCTAGTCTGTAAAAAACCTGTTTGGACAAATCACAAAATTCGTCTACTTGACTACTATTATAATTGTATGGTTTATTTATCGTTTAACAAATAATTGTGCCTTGAAGATAAAACATTGTATGCCCTTCGGCCGAGAAGTGTCTTTTTATGCTTCGCTCAGCACATAAAGACTTACTTCTCAGCCTTTTGACATAAATTTATTTATTAAAAATATTAAATCGTTGCCGTATTCAGGTCCTATATGAGTTGTAGTAAAATTGTTGCAAGTGCTTTTAAAGAGCATCTAATCATCAATGGATGATTAATAAATCGTACCTATGCATATGTAAACTGTAATAGCATAAAATGCTGCCAAGTTATAGTAAAATAAAAAAAATATCAAATTTACTATGATTTCAATGGAATAACTTATAAATCAAAATTAAAGTACTTAGAAGTACGATTAGGGGCTTAAACTTTTCTTGATATGCATTAAAATTTTGCGTTGGGGGTAAAAAAAATGTTTATTCGAAACTAATCACCCTAATATTTATACGTGCACTAAAAAATCTGATTTTAAATATATATATTTACTATATATTTATTTACTATAGTACTTATTGCTATATATTTAGGAATTTCAAGTAAATTGCGTATTTTAGGAGTGAGCGCTTCTCAATTAACTGTTAGGCGTTAAATATAGGCGCTTAGAATGCGAGAGGTACTTGGATTGGTAACTGGCGCCTCCACAACTTTTTTTAATTAAAACCTGAATAAAGAATTATTTTAATCTGACTCACTCATGATGTCAAAGTGAACTCACTGTGGCAACACATATGCATGCGTCTATGATATCACCACTCAGTAATGATATCATAATGACGACACTATGAATTCAGAATTGTTATCGGGGTTAAATAAAAAACTTGGATAAAAAACACACTTTTTTGGATATTTTACTTAATGGATATTTGATTTTTAGTAAAATTTTAAGATTATTTATAAAAAGACTTTTTTCTAAATTAAAAGGTTCATGAAATGAACCAACTTGCTTAATGGTGTTAGGGGTAGAAATAAACCAACAGAATAAATAAACACAATTACAATGGGAAAAACAAACACTTACAACTAAACTCAACACCAGACTTCTGACTCTTTCACCGACATCGTGTCCAATATCGCAACCAAACTGCACCAGGGTGCTCAAGAATCTCTTCACCTTTACCAGCTGTCTTGTGTTAACGTATGCACCATGGATGTTAAATTGTTGATCGACGTTTATTCTAGCTGCGTCCAAATTGACAGAAAGAGCTGCTGAGGCTGGCAGGGGTGGGGTCAAGCTGTCCGCACTTCCGTTGTTTATGGGCGAAGGTGATCCGTTAACGGGGTTACGAGTTGGTGAAGACTGTGAAGGTGATAAAGGTGTGGTGGCTTGACGGGCGCCTTCCGGGGAATCTGGAGTTTTGCATCTGTCCTTAGCCAGTGCTGAAAAATTTAATATTTTAAGTCTACAGTCAAAATTATAAAACGATAGGAATTCAGTTTTAATCAAGTCTTGATTCATTATAAAGAATGCACCAAAGTGCGCAATAGGAACCCTGAAAAAAATTAATAAATTGGGGTGGGAAGTATTGCTTCACCCATCATACTCTCCGACATTGGACTTTTGCACTTTTTGTTTGAAAAATATTTAAAAATTTGGAAGATATCCAAAATGCCCTCTCCATATAAAATATTATTTTGCTCAGGAACTAATTGATTTTTATTGAATTGGCATTAAAAATTTGCAAACTAGTTTAGATTATTGATAAAAATTTATTTGTCCCACACTAACTTGGAATTTATATTTATATTAAACGCTATAAAAAAATTAACAAAGTTAAACAATGGAAATATTGTTCCACTAGTAGAACAATGAAAAAGAAAAAGAATTAAAAAGGCAATAATTGTAAACATAACAATAAATTACAGCTATTTTTACATACTGATGTAGGTATCATGCTTACTTAAATTTGATTTTAAATTTTTTAGTAAATAGGTAATTTTTATTGAAAAAATAAAGGATAAATGGATAACGCTTATCGAAAAGGAACCAAGCGCTAAAAACTTTTACCTTAGAAAAAGTTTTTGGCGCTTGGTTCCTTTATACCATAAGGGGACAGGGATGCCAGGTCTGGTGATTTGTCACCAGTTCTGGTGATTTTAGACTGTATTTGGTGATGTGGTGATGACTTATTAAAAAATAGCTAAATCTGGTGATAAATCAAAATTTGTAATAAATAAGAAAATCTCATATTTGAGTGAGCATATAAGTAAACTGGGTTGTCTAGTTTAGTTTACCTTGAATCAAGGTCCTTGATGTATGTTGGCCCCTCTGCAAGTTTCAGGGGGGCGACAAGAGTTTTGCAACCAACTGTTGGTTATGTCGCTAGACTAGGGTTATGTAGTTATTATTTATTTATTATTTGATAAAATTTGTCAAGTTCATTTTGACTCTACAGCACAATAGTGCCTTTGAATTTTTTCGATTATTAATTATAATAAAACGAAAATCAGAAATAGTTTGGCTGTTAACACTTTAAATGGCATTTTTTATGCTAAAAGATTAGTTACCAATGACGGTTGCTGCTGTTATAATTTTAACATTAGCAAATATATGCCAAAGAAAAATTGCAATTTAATGTACCATCATATGAAACATATGTACCTACTTAAACTTTATCTCATTTTATTTTGGTAATTTAATTTAAATTGCAATGTTTCTTGTTCTATGTAATTAGTATTCTTTGTGATATAATGATATGAGATATTTGTTTTATTTTTATACAACATTTTATAACTTGTTTTATTGAATGTGTTTTTTTTTAATTTATAGTAATATTTTTAATAAATAAATTTTATCAAAATCTGGTGATTTTTTGAACGATCTGGTGATTTTTAACCGGATCATCTGGTGATTTTTTTGACCTGGCAACCCTTTAAGGGGATATCCATTAATTAGGTGAGACAAACATGGGGGAGAGGTCCAGCAAAATCTCACCAAATCTCATTTTAAGGGAGGGGGGTCATTTAAAATCTCACGTCAAATTTTGAGTTAAAATATGTATTATAGTCAAATTTGTTAAAAAACACTCATAATAGTTTTTTTACATGTTGTCTGCAAAGAAAGTTTAATGGCTAAAGTCTCACGTGAAGGATAGGGGGGTCTACCACATCTCACTAAATATCACCAAGGGGGAGGGGGGTCCAAACTATCAGAAAAATGTCCCTCGTAATTAATGGATGTCCCCTAAGATGTTAAAAATGTCTTATAAGATGAGTTCTTCATACTATTTTTTCTATTTGCTAAAACTTTAAAAATAATGTTGATTTATAATTTAGAATCAAATATTAGCTTTACGTATATTTGTATTTCACTATAGCCAAGAAAATTAAATAGTTATAATAAAAACCATTGACATATTAAAAGAGTGGTCGTGTAACGCTGTTGTGTATTCTACTAAAGTGTTTAAAAACTAAACCTTGCTTCATAAAGCGATAAGTTTGTTTTGTGTGTTTTTGTTAAAATACAATGGGGTTGTTATAATGACGAAAATAAAGATCCTGCAATAACCTTTCACAGGATATTATTGGTTTAACGTAATAAATCTACATATCAAATCAGTATCTGTTTACCCAGTTTCTAAATAAACAAATATGCGATCTTTTATTCAAAATATTCTCATTTATAATTAAATTTTGCATGAATCTATTGACAGTTCGGTTCAGTTTATCAACTTTTTAATGTTCTGATTATGCGTCCACTACTCTCTTAAAATGAATTAGTCAAAAATGGCTAATTGTCATAGCGAAAAAGTAGCCATTTAAGTCAACAGCAATTTGTATATTTGATATTTATCAATCAATTCCTATGTAAAATTGCTCGCAGAATTCGAAAATGTCATCAAAAGTTATAAAACTAAAACCGTTTTTAAAATATAGTTATTGTTCCATATAATATGGAATAGACTATATCTCAAAAATGCTCTACTTTCCTAACTGTTGACGGTATTTTCGGATTCAGCGGACAATGTTACATAGGAATTGATTATTTTATTTCCGGGATACAAATTGCTTTGGACAACAGTTATAACTGTTGTACTATAGTATTCTTGCCAGCAACAAAAAAATTTGTTGAATTTGTTGCTAATTGACGTTTCAATAATAATAACATAAAATGACATTATTATTAAAACATCAATTATACTTAAAGGTTACATATCTTGTTGCCAAATTTGTAAAAAAAAATTCCTCATCTATTTGCGAATCGTAATGAGATATTACACTGTGCAACATTTTCGGAAAAAAATTAAGATGATGGGGTTCTGAAAGTATTTTCGATTTCTACAATCAAAATCATGAGTTATATATAATAATAATAATAATAATAATTATAATAATAATAATAATAATAATAATAATACTAATAATAATAGAAATAATAATAATAATAATAATTAGTACATAAAAGATAATTATTGGTTTTGAATATTGTTTTATAAAGTAATAACAATCAAATAAAAAAAAATAATTAAATAAAAAAATAATGAGAACAATTATTATTATTATTATTATAAAATCCAATTTTTTTTTTAATATTGAACCTTTTTCTGGATTTAATATGTTGTAGTGCAATTTCTTAGTTCTTTCGCTTCTACCATAATAATAATTATGGTAATTATTATTATTATTATTATTATTATTATTATTATTATTATATTAATTACCTATTAAAAATATTTTTTTAACAAATAGAATGAATCAACATAAAAGATATAACAAATTTTATTTATAATTTTATGCCAAAATTTCCATTGCCATAGACCAACAAAAATCTGCCAACATCGAAGCAAACCTCTTTCCTCTATAACGATTTTCCATTTCCATTATTGTTTGATGCTTTTCTGATTCGGTGGACAGCTGAATTTCGAACAGGTCAAGATGTGCATGGAACAAATGTACTTTTAGTGACATAGGTATTTACCCCCATTTTTAATTTTTGTTTTATTTTTTATTATTTCTTTTTAATTTATTGTTATGACAACTATTTCCTACCAGTTAATTGGTTTAAATTAATAAATTTATTACGGTTTTTCGAGTTCCAAGATGCCAACATTGTTGGCGAAAAGTACTTTAATTAATTAAATAAAATTATATTATATTATATTATATTATATTATATTATATTATATTATATTATATTATATTATATTATATTATATTATATTATATTATATTATATTATATTATATTATATTATATTATATTATATTATATTATATTATATTATATTATATTATATTATATTATATTATATTATATTATATTATATTATATTATATTATATTATATTATATTATATTATATTATATTATATTATATTATATTATATTATATTATATTATATTATATTATATTATATTATATTATATTATTTTATATTATATTATATTACATTGTAACGTTTTTTAACTGTTCGTAGTGTTAATTAACGAATTAACGAACCAAACTATTCATTTAATAACTTAACTACACTTAAAACACTATAAAACTAACTAAACACTTAACTACTAATTATTTATATTTCACTACTGTTCAAGAGTCTATTTATTTGCACTTATATTTATTTATTTCGACGCGAGTACCAAAAGTGGACTGACTGCTCTGTGATGCGTCGTTCCTTATATATTCAGCGCCTATGTCTTCTGGAACATTCCAGCGAGCTCCACACTCTCGATTGTTCGAGCGCTGACTCACCAGCGATGACTTACCGGCGATGACTCACCGGCGATGAGTCATCACTCCGATATCCAGAGCGGCACTCGCTACATTGCCCCCGTCTTAAAACATTTTCGTCCCGAAAATGGTCCTCAGCTCCATGGCGATATTTGCATAGAGATCCAAACTTGCATTGTGACGTCCTATAGAAGTAGCAGTCTACGGTCTTCCTTCCAGTTGTTCTTTTAGGGTTGTGGCAACAGACAAGAATGTGTATGCCACTAAATCTAAAGATAACTTCCAACATACTTCTAATTATTCTCCAGTCCAAACCGTCAAGTCCACAAGCAATCTTTGGGATCGCCAGGTTCATGATGTCCTTGGACAAAAGGGTATCCCTCAATTTATTTAGGGCATTCCATACATCACGGTAGTTTGGCTTCTGATGAGAGAGCTGCTTCGTTACCAGATAGAAGATACTTCTGTTGCCTATCTGCTCATTATTCACAATTTCAAGCACCTCTCCAACTTTGGGATTCTGCCTTCGTAGCTCGTCGATCCGTCCAAACTTGTTTTTAAAAACAACCGCTATTCCCCTGGACATCCTTAGGTCTTCCGCAACACAGTGAGCCAAGGAGTAATCGGCCGGAACCGTGAACAGATCTTTTTGTTTTTCTTGAGTGACACCGTAGCGAGCTTTTTTACCGCTCTAATATAAATACATGAAGTC